ACTTCTTGGTTTTCGAGTAATAAATTCGCGAAAATTTTGCCTCTTTTTAACTTTGACCTCCCGCCGCGTCTCCCCAAAATTTTTGGGGGGCTTGAAACTTTGGGAAAAGATGGGGCATTGTTAGGTGAATGAATAGGGCAAGTCTCAAGGGTATCCGCCCCGAGCCCCAAATGGCCCGTTTTGCACGTAGTCCTTTAGTTTCTCTCATTCTGGAAAAATTCGACGAGAATACACCTTTGACCATAAATGATGTTCATAATGCCAATGTCAAAGCGGAAATACAATCTGTCATGGAAGCCACTAATTGCCTGGCAGCAACGCAAGCGCTAGCAGACTCTCATATTTTTAGTGCAGCAGGAACGTACGACCAGTTCTCTTCCGAAAATTGGCAAGCAGAGAGGGAGATAGCAGTTAAAGGTTAGTTTCAGATCTCGCTCTTGATCCACTGATTTTTGTACAATCGTAGGTTTATTGTGAAGTTCATGTAATTTGTATCTTCAATGCAGGTTCGAAGATGCACTGTCCCGTGTTCCAGCTTTACCATGCCCTCTAAGTTAAATTCAATCAAAAATAAGGGGCAACGGCCAAAAGTGGCGCCTAAAAAATTAGCAAAGCTCTCATTTGAAAATTAGTTGGTGCTACTGTTTCATTTAAATCTAAGGATTCTGGCAGCATTTCCAGAGAAAATAAATCTCTTTCAGAATGTAGTTGGAGCAAACTTGTAAGCCATAACTCATTAGGACTTACATACCGTTCTGTTCTTAATCCATAATTATTCCAGGAATTTGTCAAATTGTTAAGACTCTGCTGTATCCTAAAAAAGTACACGTAAATTAAACACAACAAGTCTAGAACAGACGACTGGTGTAAAAAATTGTTATCTTCAAGGTAATAAAAGATCTGTCGAAATTTTGAGGTCACAATTAAGTTAACCTCTGCCCACAATATTTTTATTCTTGTATTATGCACACTTCTACCTTGAATAAACGGTGAATCAATGTTGCTGCGTCGTGATTCCATGAAATTAATCACTTCGGCATTTTCTGTACCCCAATCCCCACGCACTCGCATAGGCAACCCATTTTTATCCACTCCTTGAGTAAATATATCTAAAACTGTTTCAGCTTTTTTTGTTGTGGCAAGCTGAAGATAAATGATTCGACGGCTGAACCCATTAGTGCATCCATGTACGTACAGGTTCCAATTGACGAGTTTCTCGTTACCATCCAAGTGCCTGAAAATTGAGCAAATTCTTGTAGAACAGTGTCACAACAAAATAGTTTTTTTTTTTCGGAGAAAGGGGTAAGTATGGTATTAGAAGTTTTATCAGTTCAGAGACAATTTTTACTTTCTCGCTCCCCTAGGGTAGAGAGGAAGTATTGTCATCCTCCAAGAAAAAAAAAAAAAAAAAAAAATTGAAATTTCATCATTTCNGTGTGTCCGTCCGTCCGACGTCCCCCAAATCTGTCTACAGCGATATCTCAGAATCTATCTGTTCGATTTCATTCAAAATTCTCACAGAACACCATATTTATGGTCTCCTTATGCACGTACAACGATTTTGGGGTACGCTAAAATTTGGGGGGGCTAGGGTCAAATTGGGTTAAAGGTCCATTTTCAGCAAAATCACACGGAAAGCTCATTTTGAGGGACCGTAAATTTTGAAAAATGCCTTTTAATTCTTTAAAATTGGGCATCAAGCACATCACCTGGGTCATTAATTTAAGTTCCTAAAAGATCTTTGGACTAAACTCAAAATTCAAGGGATTACGAGGCCCAAAAGTAGGGCACTTTGCTCCGCGACATCACACAAACAACTCATTTTCAAAGACTGTAAATTTGAAAAAAATGCCTTTCATTTCTACGAAAGTTGGCATAAGAGCACCATCTGGTTCAATAATGTAAGTTCCTATGAGGTCTTTGGACTAAACTAAAAATTGAAGGGTTACGCATCATATAGCGAGGAGAGCACTTCGGTCACACGGAGAGCTCATGGACTGTAGATTTTGCAAAAATGCCTTTAATTCTTTGAAAGTTGGCTCAAAAGCACCATCTGAGTCATTAATTT